CCCCAAAACCCCAAAACCCCAAAACCCCAAAGGAAGAAGATGAGTTAAATTTGATAAAATTCATTTTTAAAATTCTTCAATAAACACCTCAATGCAATTGTAGTCTGAATTGATTTGAATGAACTCTTTGTTACAGAATTTTTCTACTCTCGCTTTTATTTGAAGATATAGTTTATACAAATGCTCAATCTCGTAAATGAAATCATGCTAAAACTTTAAGGAATCTATCAAATCTTAAATGTCCTTACTCCTCAATGAATTATTTGGATCTAAATCATATGCCTAGAATTCATAAATCATTCTTATTTTATTGTTGATTTTCTTTACTTTCTCAACATAATCTTTGAATTCATTCATATCAAATGGCTGAATCTCCTCGAAGCCTTCTCTTATTAAAGGCTACATTAATAACTCTTTTTAAAGTAATTTCTATTGATCTAGAAGCTATATTGAATGAATGAGTTCATTCAAATTTGCATCGGCCAAATGAAAATCAACAAGAGTAAAGGGGTTTCCTGTAAGGTTTTAAGTATATTTATAGATTTTATTCAAATCATCTTATTTCAAATCATCAGAAAGAAGATCTTTTCCATAAGGATGCTGCTTAGTTTAAGAACTTCTAATAATTTTAAAAAGCTTAATCGGAGTGTCTAGACATTTTCTAATTTGGAATTCTAATCTCTTGGTAAATCCTATCATTGTATTCAGCTCTTCAAATATTTATTCCCTCTTAGTTTTTTGTGTTTTGGTACTTGCCCCTCCACTACTTCCCTGATTACTATTTTCTTGATCTCTTGGGCATAAAACAGATAGAAAATTAGCGATAGATTCTTTGGTATGCTTCCTAATCATCATATTTTTTAGAAGCCTCATATCACTTAGTCTCTCAATGTACTTATTTACAGGATCTCTAAGCTTAAAAAAAGCATCAGAGATAAATTTCAAGAGAGGCATGCTTAAATCGTATCTCTTTTGAATTTCAATAATGCTTGGTGGAATTTTAAGTATCAACACAGCTATCTTCTGACATAAGCTATTGATTAGCTCTAAAATATTTAATCTTCTTAAACAAAATTTTAATTTACTGCTTGATTTTTTGTCTTTAAGGTCCATTTATTCTAGCAAGTGAAATTATGAATATATAAACTCAACTCTCTCCTAGATATGAGAAAGAAACTCCTAGACAAATACATTATCAAGAACCTTTGTTGAGTATTCATTTATTATCATATTTAGTACAAACATTATAGATTCAACAATCGCCTAAGCCTCTTGGTTTTTTATTTGTTAAATCTAATTCAATAAATATGTTAATTTCAATTATTTTTTCTTACTTGAACATAAATTTCTTAAGTATAAGTCATAATATCCTTAAAAATGACCATAAGAGTTTGGAATCTATCTCTAAGCCCCTCTAACCCCTGGGCGTATTTATTATTTAATTCTTTTTCAAGAAAAGTAGCGAAATCTTCGAGTTTGATTCTGAGCACTTTATTATCTATCTCCATGATTTATTTTAAATAATAATAGCAATAGTTTTTAATAATAAATCAAGTACTTTATGGAGAAACAATAATCTACCTACTATGAGAAACTAATGTCTTTCAAATAGAAATTAGATGCAATCGAAGACGTAGATGAACAAGAGTTAGAGAAATATGAAAATGAATACTTGTTTGGTTATAAAGGGAATCCCAATGATTTTTAGAATTTCATGGTTAATATTGAAAAAAACGAAATAAAAATTCACAACATGTTTATATCTAGTTTTCTACCGCCTTTTTTACTTTATTAGTCAAAGGATTACTAATATTCAATATGAGATTATGATGCGACTGAGACCTTGCTAATATTAGAAACGCTTTAAAAAGTAAATGAATTACTTGACCTTGACATCAAACTTTAGTAGGTAAGAAAAGTAAAGTAGAAATGATAATATAAGTATATAGATGATTTTGAGTTTGTTGAAAAAATGCCGATGCTCTTACCTTAAATCGTAGTATAACTCTTAAAGCTTATTTGAAATTAAGAGGAAATCTTCAAAGGTAAATTGAACGCTGTTACTTCTTAGATTATGATCTAGCAGCTAATAGAAAATGTTTTTGTACACAAATTCCCAATTATGACTTAAAAAGAGTACTAGATAGAGATCCTGTCAAACTTAAGTAAAAAGATACCAATGCTTGAGTGTCTTTACTACCAAATCGAATTTATGGAAAAGATATGTCTGATTGAATTTTTAACACTATTAGTTGATAACAATTAGGATTGTTCTTAATACTCACTTAGCATATCTGAAAATATTAGTGTTCTAAGATTTTACAGTTTATTCGAACAGTCAATTATAATTCTTAAAGTAACTAGATACAGTGAATTATTCCTGTTTAGACTAGATAAAATAGATACAATTCAAAAACTCAATGAAGATAAAATTATCAATAATTCATAGGTTAAAGTTATACAAGATATTTACTAGAAGATCGAATTAACTCTTAAATTATCTTAGGATTCAGGAAATATCAACTAGATTTAGTCACCAAGAAATACTTTGAAGAAAGAGCTAATATATTTTAAGTCTAAGACAATGAGACAAAAAATAATGGAATTGACTAACTAGAAATTTGAAAAATCAATAAAAAAATAGTGCAAGTACTTAACAAAAAAATTTCAAAGTAAAATTTCTAAAAATCCTCAGTCAGAGTAAATAACAAAGTATAAATTTCAGAAATTGATGCAATTAAAACTAATCAATGACTATTCATTTTTAATCAATCATATTCTTGATTTACTTTCGCAAGCTAATATCTCAAGTTTGAATTAGATTGCTTAGATACTGATTAGAGATATAGAGAATATAACTCCATTTTAGGTAGTGTATAACGTTTAAAGTCTGATTTTTCAATACCCTTTCTTGATTAAAAACTAATTGCTAAGACTTGAATTTGATTAAATTCAGATTGAAGATATTCAAGGCGTTGGTATGACCTATGCAGAGTGGTATATTTTTATGATAGATCAGTCCTTAATTGATAAGTACTTCGAAGTAAAGTAAATATTCATTGTAGAAAAGGTAGATAGAAATGCTCCTGATTATTATGATTATGATATTGATAATTATTGATAGTTCTGATTATTCTAAAATTTGTTCAAGATTTTATCATAAGGGGTTTTGGGGTTTTGGGGTTTTGGGG